GAAGTGCCACCAACGGCTATATCTCCTTAGGAAGCTCAACTCCTTTGGAGTCAGCTCCTCAGTCATGATGACCTTTTACTGTGCCTTCCTGGAAAGCATCATGACCTTCTCCATCACTTGCTGGTTCTACTCTCTTAGCCTCCAGGACAGGAACAGACTGCAGCACACTGCATCAGTGTGCTCCAAAATCGTTGGCCTGCCTGTCAGAACTCTTGCTCAGGTTTTCTATCAACAAGCCCTGAGACAGGCAGCTAAAATCCTCCACAACCCCTCTCACATTCTTCACCCCGCATTTCAATGGCTCCCCTCTGGGCGACGCCTCCGCTGCATTTCCTGTAAGAGGAGAAGAGCCACCTTTGTCCCCAAAGCCATTCTGCTCTTTAACTCCAGCAGATAAGACCATCCCCCGATAAACCCTCTCCTTGGGCTCTCCATATATTTAACTTTTATACAGACAACACTTTAGTCACTTTATTCACTTACACAGTGATTTTTGCATATTTTATTTTATCCATCTTCTTGCTGCTTTATTACTTCCTTATTGCCTACTTATTCAATGTTTGTATGTCCAACATCATGCTGCTCTGCTGTTATTTTTTTTAATTGCCCCTCGGGGATAAATAAAGTTTTTCTGATTCTGATTCTGATTAAGACTAGAACTACCAGGATTATCTGACCCCCTCGGCTCTACCAGAGGTAGCCAAATGGCTCCTTGGTTTGAAAATCACAACTCAGCCACTGACAGTTAGCTGTCTTTCATTTGTAAATGTAGCCATTCTCTGTGCAGAGCACAAACAACGGCCCATTGGAATGTGGAGGAATGCTGGGGAGCGGAAAAATTTCAGTCATTTAGGTTGGCCTAATTTTGTTTGCCTCTTTAGCTTTATAGCCCTGGTAGAAAATGACTCAAAAGCTCTTTTTACAAGACAAACTGTGCCGGTAAATCAACATAACATTACCGCAATAGTGTGTTTGATAAACAGCGTTGTGCGAATTTTGCTGCATTTGTTGCGCCTTGCTTGGTAGTAATATTGCGGTAATTGTCTGTGCTATAAACAGCGATTGCACCTTGCCACAACAGAGGAAGATGTCAAATGGCGTAGCAAATGTGTGGTGACCCCCAACTGGAAAGAGTGTATAAACCACAAAAACATGGGAAAGTTAGTAAACAAGCAGCGGACATGGCTACTTGGAGTGACATAAGATCTGTGAACTTCTGTCTTTACGATCAGAGGCAGAAGTTGCCAGACAATTCTCAGGAACTGTGACGGACAGCCACCTCTTTGAGGGTTTGTCTAAAACCCTCAAGGAGCGTAGCTTCAGCCGAGACAGAGAACAGATCACATCAAAACTCAAAGGATTGAAGAAGTTTCACTTTTCACTGTTTCAATTTACATGAGAGTGCAGCCTGGTAACCTGAAAAATAAATCCTGTTCAGATGTAGCTGATCACCTGAAGCCTTTTCAAGAGTCTGGCTTGTTTTCAACACTTGAAAAGCAGCTTCATCACAGCTGTTATGAACCTTCTTTTGGAACCTGGACAATCGAAGCCTGCATTGCAGTTAACCTGCATTATTCCCAAGGCCGGATTAACCATGTGGGCAACTGGGCAATTGCACATGTTCTCTACTTTTTGTCTTATTTGTGCTTGAAGCGCTCTGCCACTGCGGAGCTCATCACCTGTGCTGCGGTGATTTCACCTCACTGACGCATCGAAACGCGCTCTCCGCTTTGCGGTCAGGAGAGCCCTTTGATCTGCTCAGAAGTAACTGATGAGGTGAAAAAGTAAGAATCCAGGCAGCAGATTTTCTGGAGAGTTTAGAGGAGATGCAGGAAGATGAGAGATAGACAGGACAGGAAAATATAGTTAAATAAAAACAAGAAAACAAAACAAAGTGTTGAAAAGTAAAATGTAGGTAGATTTATCTCCTCTACACGTTTTTACCTGTATAAAACAATAAGTTATACACATGTAATATTTATACATCTGATACAATTCAGATCACCTTCAAAACTCAGTCACACACCCAGGGCCGTTTCAAGACATTTTGGGGGCCAAGGCAAAATGACCCCCCACCCCCCCCCCCCACCACCACCACCACCACCACCACCCCACCACCATAGCTGGGCTCCCCAGAAGCCTCTGTGTAATCCATAACCTCTCCAGGAGTGTTAGTTATACAGTGTTTATAAAAGCCCCTCAGACATCACTGACATGGTCTAATATTATCAGATGAAAAACTAAATTATCAGACATGCTGTCTCATCTGCTTCTTTTGTAAACTTGCAAAAAGTAACAAAACCATTTGAAAGCCACTATTTGTGGATTCTCTGAAAGTTTCCATGGAGTGTGTGACAACTTATTTTTTCATTGATCCTATCGTCTAATCTCACAGCTGAAACAAGCATCCTTGATAATCTGTGCACAGGAAGCGTACCAATGCTGTAGTAAAACAAAAGGTATAATAATTTATTATTAATAAAACCTTGTTGCAGCACTAAAGCAGAAAAATGAGATTTTGCAGTAAATATGCTAAGTATTTATTGTTTTGGAGCCCTTTTATTGGCATAATCTGATATTAATTTAGTTCTTACAAAAACAATGGGTCCCAGCGTTGTGTGGCGTTGCCATAGTGTGATGTCATAGGCACAGATCCCCTGTCCTCTTTTTTGGAAATGGAAATATGATCACCCTGTATTAAACAAACTGTCCACCCGGGCTTTTGCGCTGCACAGAGACTGTTCACTTTGAACGTCAGTTGAGAGTCAGTCTCTTGTAGACTGACCAATGAAGAGAGGGCCTCAAGTTAAGACTCTCTCCTCATTGGTCAGTCCACACAAGGTGGGTCAAAGGTTACCCTGAGCGGGTTATGTGAAGTCAGGCATTCAAGTATTGAGTATATTTACTGCATATTACAGTAAAATATTCTGTATGTGACCATATTATGGTGATCCTTGGGTCGTGATGATGGGGCCCTTGAATATTGTTGCCCAGGGTACAACGAAGTCTTAATCTGGCCCTGATTATTCCCCCTAAATTGTTTGAGTTGCAATAGAAAACATCCACAAAAGGCTTGCCCGTTTGAAGGTTTATTGTTTTAATAAAACCATAATGCTTTCTTGGATTGCCTGAGCATTTTGTGGCCCTTTTGTAAAAAGGGCTTCTGTTGAATCTGGTCAACTGAACTTGCCCACCCAAAATAATTTATGACTGACTTTGTGAAGACTTCAGATAAGCACACAAGTTGTGATTGCAACATAAGCTATGAAAGCTACAAACATAGTAATTATAAAAAAAATCTGGTTTTACAGATTCCTGTATGCTCTGTCATTATATCCTGCATGTAGCCTCTGACTGAAGACACTCTTGTTGAGTATTCTTGTGTCTCTGGTTTTTCTCTAGCTGCCTCTTTACCTGACTGCTAGAAAAAAACAGGCAAGAGGGGAAGGTGAGCACCAGCATATCCTGAAGTTATTTACAGAACACAGACAAACAAACACGAGTGATTAGGAATGCTAGGCGAAAACAACGGTGCCAAATGGCAGCTCTCTGAGAGTTCTAGTGATAAGGAAACTAATTCAATATGTTAGTAGGTAGCTTTACCCTATATGACCTAGGGGTCTACTAACTCAAGATTTTTTTTTTTAGAATAAAGTGTCATTAATTACATTTAAAAATGTAAGCTAACCTCCCAATACTGTGATTATATGTTCAAAGTTTTAACTACACCATTTAAACCTTCTTACTGTCTTAAATTGTGATTTCATTCCTTAAATATGGTCAGATGTTTACTTAGATTTACACTAAAAGTGTCTGTCTTGCATCATGATGATGAAGGTGGGTACTGCAAATACAGGCTCCAAAAGTCAATAGTCTTTCATTAGGTCTTTTCATTGTGTGTTTCTCTGATGCATGTCTTTTCAGTTGTTGTTTACTGTCATTTCCATTTTAAATGTCATTGTCAGAATGGGGGTGTAATTCTTGCAAGATAAGCTTTGTGCTGAATGTTGACTTGTTTTTAGATTTAGGCAATGCAAGAAAAACTTCCTACACAAATGCTATTTGTTTTCTAGATGTAAGAAATACCACTGGCTTCAAAAGGGTCAATTTGTTACATCATAACACATTTGATTTGAAATCAAAAGGTCAGCACAAAACAGACATGTTTAAAATCACTATAAAAGAAATTATTAGATTTAAATATCACATTCATCCTAATAAATTAGAATTACACAAAATTCAAGCCTGAGCGTTTTCAATTCAGAAGGAGCAGTGAAAAGAAAAACCGTTTTCAAAGTTGATTTAAAAGTTGCTAGACTTGGAGCAAACTTTAAGTCTTAAGGAAACTAATTCAATATGTAAGTAGGTAGCTTTACCCTGTATGACCTAAGGGTCTACCACCTTCCTAAGGATCTTGGCTTCTTACTGGATGTAGATATTGCAAGGGAAGCCTAACTATATTTTGTCATGAAGTGATTTAGAAAACAGCAGTTGTACTTTTGATTAGCTAGCTGTAAATGCATAGTTCAATCTAAAAATTTAAGAACAGGAGTGATTTGCTCAGTTATTTAGGTTCTTTTTAAAACTATAGCTGCAGTGTTCTGAATAAATTGCAGTTTTGACATGATCAGAGCATAAAAACATTACAACTGTCCAGTCCTAATTTCAGCTTGAGAGCTACTTTAATGTCACAATGTTCACATGTGTTACTAAACGTTCATATTCAACATCATTTGGTGAAATAACCTATTTTTAAACCCTACCAGAGCAAAACTGTATAGACAGATAAAAATGTGCCAAAAGTGATTCTGCTCTTAAAAAGATTTAATTAAAATGTTGTTTTATTTAAAAAAAAAAAGAAGATATATTTACTCAATACAGGTTTGGTGTTCTTGTAAATTGTGATGATGTTAAACCAACTTTTAAACTTTTACAAATAGAAGAGAAGTTATATAAGTTCATTTCTTAAATGTTGTTTTCTCTGACTTACAGGAAAGCCACACCCTTGCATTTAGTGTATCAATAGGTGGGCGGTAACCTGGCCCACCTCTTTGGTTATAAAAAGGTCATGCTGTTCAGCCACTGTGCCATTTACTTGGTAAAACCTCTGGGTCAAAGCTTTCTCAGTTTTTGCTGTGAAGTGGAAGCCATCTTTTACTTTTAGTAGCTTTGTTTGTGCATTTCTCCATCTTCTTTGAAGATTTTGTTTCCTGATTTGCCAGCTACAACCTGCCAAGGTAAGGTTTCAGAAATACATATTAAACTCAAAATGTTTATGGGTATAACTGTTTATAAAGACAGCATCTATGAGTGTTTTTTTTTTTAATAAAAAGTGAACCCAGATATGGCAGGTTTTCTGATCCATTGCAATGTCACTGGAACAGCTCCAAAGACTTAACTAGTTTTGGTGCAAATTCATTCAAAGGGGTTAGAGTTAAGATGTTTCGCTTCTCAACAAAGCTTCAACAACAATGTATCAAAGCTTCTCGGTGAGAAACAAAACATTTTCAAGAAAGCAAATAAGTCCAGTTGTGTTCATTTGAATCCTATTGGATTACCATGACCTGGATGACTGAGAACCCTCAACAGCATTTTGGTGTACACTATTGAAGTGTCTCAGTCACAGGGTTCTTTGGTTTCGTGAAGACATTTTGCTTCTCATCTGAGGAGCTTTGTCGTGTCTAAGTGGAATATGGGAGAGTCAATCTTATACGCTGTACATGTCTTATTCTTCAACAAGGTGAAGACTCTGCAGTCCACCTACACCTGAAGGACAAGGGACACTCCTGACAAAGCATATATTCTGGACAGAGAAGATATATGGTTTGACAGGAGTAAAATAAGCTATCTATGTCAAATGTGGAAAAAAAAACTTTAACTAGAGATGGGGGGCTTCGATTTCACCTTTCCAGTACAATGTATCCAGTATAATGTAGCTGAGCTGATAATCAGCCCTGGGTAGCGTACGTCACACACAACAACACTGAGTTTGTCATAAATATGGCGACTGAAGTGGAGTTCGCTGCGACTCTTTCCTCTGTTCTAAATGATGGTGAGGATGGACTCGATAGTGGTGTAGAACTGCCTCATTGACTGTGGTGATAGGTTCAATTTCTTCAGCTGCCTCAGGAAGTACATCCTCTACTGGGCTTTTTTCTGATGGTGGTGATGGTGGGCTCCCATTTGATGTCCTGGGTGATGGTGGTGCCCAGGAAGCGACATGAGTCCACCATCATGATGGGAGTGTCAGACAGGTTTAAGGGGGCGATGGGATGTGTGTGTTTCCTAAAGTCCACAACAACCTCCGCTGTCTTCTGGGTGTTTAGCACCAGGTTGTTGTGGCTGCACCAGGACACCAGCCGTTCAGCCTCCATTCTGTAAGCGGACTCATCCCCATTAGAGATGTGTCCGATGATGGTGGTGTCGTCAGCAAACTTAATTAGTTTGACAGACTCATGTTTGGAGGTGCAGCTGTTGGTGTACAGGGAGAAAAGCAGAGGGGAAAGAACATAGCCCTGTGGTGAGCCAGTGCTGATGGTTCGTAGGTCCGAGACATTCTTCCCCAGCCTGACTTGTTGTTTCCTGTCTGTCAGGAAGTCAGTGATCTACCTGCAGATGGGGTTAGGCACGTTCATCTGGGACATTTTCTCTTGGAGGAGGTCTGGCAGGATTGTGTTGAATGCAGAGCTGAAGTCCACGAACAATAACCTGGCGTAGGTACCTGGGGAGTCCAGATGCTGCAGGATGAATTGTAGAGCCATGTTGATTGCATCATCTACAGACCTGTTTGCTCTGTATGCAAACTGCAGGGGGTCCAGGAGGGGGGGGGCTGTGAGGGTCTTGAGGTGGGGGAGAACTAGGTGCTCAAATGACTTCATGACCACAGATGTTAGAGCCACAGGCCTGTAGTCATTTAGTCCAGTGATTCTTGGTTTCTTGGGGATAGGGACTATGGTGGAGATCTTGAAGCAGGCAGGCACTTGAGATTCTTCCAGTGAGGAGTTGAAGATGCTCGTAAACACTGGGGCCAGCTCTTCAGCACAGTGCTTTAGAGTGGCAGGAGCCACGCCATCAGGGCCCGGGGCTTTTCATGTGTTAAGAAACCTGAACTGCTTCTTTACATCTGCTTCATGAATGTGTGTGTTAAGAGACCTGAACTGCTTCTTTACATCTGCTTCATGAATGTGTGTGTTAAGAGACCTGAACTGCTTCTTTACATCTGCTTCATGAATGTGTGTGTTAAGAGACCTGAACTGCTTCTTTACATCTGCTTCATGAATGTGTGTGTTATCGGTGGAGGCGGGGGTTCTGGGTTTGTAGTTGGTGATGTTCCTGAAACTTTTCCACACAGAGGTTGGGTCGTTTTCAGAGATTTGCTGCTGCATTTTGTCATGATGCTGTTGTTTTGCTTTGACCAATTCTTTGCTGAACCTGTATTTAGTGTCTCTGTAGGAGTCCTTGTCCCCCCTTTTAAATGCATCTCTCTTTTCAAACCACAGCTGTTTGAGTTTAGGGGTAAACCAGGCTTTGTCATTGTTATAACTCACCCTGGTGTGTGATGGTATGATGCTGTCCTGACAGAAGTGGATGTAGGAGGTGACGGTATCTGTGAACTCATCTAAACTGTCTGAGGTGGCCTTCATTACCTCCCAGTCTGTGGTCTCAAAGCATGAGCGAAGCTCATCTGCAGCATCAGTGTTCCACTTTCTTGTTGACTTCACAACAGGCTTGGAGAGTTTTAGCCTTTGTCTGTAAGTTGGGATCCGATGGATGGTCAAGTGGTCAGACAGTCCAAGCGCAGCACGCGCTTCTGCATGATAGGCTCCCGTTACTGTGCTGTAACAGTGGTCCAGGTTTTTCTCCTCTCTGGTTGATCATTTGATATACTGTTTATGTTTGGGAAGCTCCTAGCTCAGATTTGCTTTGTTAAAGTCTCCAAGTACAATGATGAGGGAGTCTGGGTATGTCCGCTCCTTGCACAGTATCTCTTCCGCGATCGCACGCTGAGCCTCGTGCACATCCGCATCAGGTGGGATGTAAACAGCGTCTAGAATGAATGAGGCGAACTCCCGCAGAGAGTAAAATGGTTTACAGTTTACTCTGCAGTCCACCTACACCTGAAGGACAAGGGACACTCCTGACAAAGCATGTATTCTGGACAGAGAAGATATATAGTTTGACAGGAGTAAAATAAGCTATCTATGTCAAATGTGGAAAAAAAAAACTTTAACTAGAGATGGGGGGCTTCGATTTCACCTTTCCAGTACAATGTATCCAGTATAATGTAGCTGAGCTGATAATCAGCCCTGGGTAGCGTACGTCACACACAACAACACTGAGTTTGTCATAAATATGGCGACTGAAGTGGAGTTCGCTGCGACTCTTTCCTCTGTTCTAAATGATGGTGAGGATGGACTCGATAGTGGTGTAGAACTGCCTCATTGACTGTGGTGATAGGTTCAATTTCTTCAGCTGCCTCAGGAAGTACATCCTCTACTGGGCTTTTTTCTGATGGTGGTGATGGTGGGCTCCCATTTGAGGCCCTGGGTGATGGTGGTGCCCAGGAAGCGACATGAGTCCACCATCATGATGGGAGTGTCAGACAGGGTTAAGGGGGCGATGGGGTGTGTGTTTCCTAAAGTCCACAACAACCTCCGCTGTCTTCTGGGTGTTTAGCACCAGGTTGTTGTGGCTGCACCAGGACACCAGCCATTCAGCCTCCATTCTGTAAGCGGATTCATCCCCATTAGAGATGTGTCTGATGATGGTGGTGTCGTCAGCAAACTTAATTAGTTTGACAGACTCATGTTTGGAGGTGCAGCTGTTGGTGCATAGGGAGAAAAGCAGAGGGGAAAGAACATAGCCCTGTGGTGAGCCAGTGCTGATGGTTCGTAGGTCCGAGACATTCTTCCCCAGCCTGACTTGTTGTTTCCTGTCTGTCAGGAAGTCAGTGATCTACCTGCAGATGGGGTTAGGCACGTTCATCTGGGACATTTTGTCTTGGAGGAGGTCTGGCAGGATTGTGTTGAATGCAGAGCTGAAGTCCACGAACAATATCTTGGCGTAGGTACCTGGGGAGTCCAGATGCTGCAGGATGAATTGTAGAGCCATGTTGATTGCATCATCTACAGACCTGTTTGCTCTGTATGCAAACTGCAGGGGGTCCAGGAGGGGGGGCTGTGAGGGTCTTGAGGTGGGGGAGAACTGGGTGCTCAAATGACTTCATGACCACAGATGTTAGAGCCACAGGCCTGTAGTCATTTAGTCCAGTGATTCTTGGTTTCTTGGGGATAGGGACTATGGTGGAGATCTTGAAGCAGGCAGGCACATGAGATTCTTCCAGTGAGGAGTTGAAGATGCTCGTAAACACTGTGCTTTAGAGTGGCAGGAGCCACGCCATCAGGGCCCGGGGCTTTTCATGTGTTAACAGACCTGAACTGCTTCTTTACATCTGCTTCATGAATGTGTGTGTTATCGGTGGAGGCGGGGGTTCTGGGTTTGTAGTTGGTGATGTTCCTGAAACTTTTCCACACAGGTGATGTTCCTGAAACTTTTCCACACAGAGGTTGGGTCGTTTTCAAAGATTTGCTGCTGCATTTTGTCATGATGCTGGTGTTTTGCTTTGACCAATTCTTTGCTGAACCTGTATTTAGTGTCTCTGTAGGAGTCCTTTTCCCCCTTTTAAATGCATCTCTCTTTTCTAGCCACAGCTGTTTGAGTTTAGGGGTAAAGCAGGCTTTGTCATTGTTATAACTCACCCTGGTGTGTGATGGTATGATGCTGTCCTGACAGAAGTGGATGTAGGAGGTGACGGTATCTGTGAACTCATCTAAACTGTCTGAGGTGGCCTTCATTACCTCCCAGTCTGTGGTCTCAAAGCATGAGCGAAGCTCATCTGCAGCATCAGTGTTCCACTGTCTTGTTGACTTCACAACAGGCTTGGAGAGTTTTAGCCTTTGTTTGTAAGCTGGGATCAGATGGATAGTCAAGTGGTCAGAGAGTCCAAGCACGCGGTACTGCATGATAGGCTCCTGTTACTGTGCTGTAACAGTGGTCCAGGGTTTTCCCCTCTCTGGTTGAACACTTGATATACTGTTTATATTTGGGAAGCTCCTGGCTCAGATTTGCATTGTTAAAGTGTCCAAGTACAACGATGAGAGAGTCCGGGTACGTCCGCTCCATGCACAGTATCTCTTCCACGAGCGCACGCTGAGCCTCGTGCACGTCCATGTCATGTGGGATGTAAACAGCGCCTAGAATGAATGAGGCGAACTCCCGCGGAGAGTAAAATGGTTTACAGTTTGTGAAAAGATATTCCAGAGATGGAGAACAATGCTGCACGATCACTGTGACATCTGTGCACCAACCATTATTGATTTAAAAACACACACCTCCACCTGTGGTCTTGCCGGAGAGAGTCACTTTCCGATCTGCGCGGATGAGGTGAGACCCCTCCAGCTGGAACGCGCAGTCCTGGGTGTCCTCACTGAGCCATGTTTCAATGAAGCACAGAACCCCAGATGACGAGAAGTCTCTGTTTATGTTCCTCATCAGGGTCAGCTCGTCCATTTTGTTGTGGTGTGAGCGCACATTAGAGAGGAAGATGCCAGGCAGAGCCGTGCACAGTCCCCGTCTCCTCAGACGCACGAGAGCGCCCGCTCATTTATCTCTCCTCCTGTGTCTTACTTTCCTGATCAAAGTTGATATTGAATCGGCCCCGGATGCAACAAAAAACGAGGTTAAGTCCACCGGAATCATAGTGTTGTAACTTATGAGTTCTTCTCTTGAGTAGGAGTACCCAGATACGCAATTTACACACAAAAACAGAACAATAACAGCGCACCAAAGTACCACGGCAGCCGTCTGTGGCGCCATCTTGAATCCCTCACAATAGAGGCTAGCGACTCATCAGGTGATGGAGAGCCGAGGTACCCACAGTAGTTTTGGCTCATTGACTAACAATAGATAGCTACAGCTTATAGGCTTGACTCTCCCATATTCCAGTTTGAAGTGACAAAACTCCTTGGATGAGAAGAGAAACATCTTCAAGAAACCAAAGAAGTCCAGTTGCCTTCATTTGAACCCTTTGGAGTATCATGACCTGGATGACTGAGAACTTTCACTCGCCCTTTTTACAGTTAGAATTGACAAAGCTCCTCAGATGAGAAGCAAACTTCTTCAGAAAACCAAAGAAGTTCAGTTGTCTTCATTTAAACAACTTCAAATATAAATAGGCAAAAAGAAATACTAATGACCAAAAACAAGACAGGTCTTTGTTACTTAATAGGTAATCTGTCTATTAAATAGAAGATATACATTCCCTCAGGTTTCTATATCACCTATTTAATAGAATAAATACATGATATTACATTAGTGTGTAATGTATTTCTTTAGTGATCATGCATAGTACTAAATTTATGGTATTTTTTTCCTTGTTGTAGATGCCTCGTGGCAAAGGGTACCGTAGAGCTCAGGCCTTGAAGAACAGACAGTTTATGCCGAAGCCTGTGGAAGAGCTGTTCGAGATTCTGCCAAGCTGTACGGCTTTTACTCCACGTAAGTTACATATTTAGTTATTTTCCAAAACATCAAATGCTTTTTTTGAAAACCTTTGTTGAATATTTTGAAATTGACATGGTGTATGCACACTGAGAAATTTCAGATAAATTAATGTGACACACTTTACAATTACATATTTACATTACATTGATATTGTGTTAATTTTTTTTCTTCATCTTACCATTAGGTCACGGAACAGGCTTCAGGCACAGGGTTTGTCGTTGGCCCTTGTCGCCTAACACAGGAAAAAGTCTGAAAGTCATCATCCCACCAGAGTCTTCAGACAAGAAGGTACATTTAGCTAATAATTTATATTAATATTAAACTATATTATGTGCTTATAGGTTCACACACAGATTGCTGTGTGTTCTTTAGTTTCTAAAGTGCTTTGTGATTTTTATCTTCAGAGGTCCTTCATTAAACAATTGTTTCTTCTTCTAGTTTGTCTTTGTCATAGGAGATTCACATCTCCGAGCCATTGTGGATGGCTATGTGAAGGTGCCTGAGGGGAAGCTGTCCTTTGGCTACCTGTCGGTTCCTGGTGGTACAGCAGCCCACCTTACCACTGAGGTCCGGCAGTTAGTTCTCCCACGTGAACCAGATGCAGTGTGTCTGCTCGCTCCAAGCAACAACCTGGACAGTCCTATTTCTGAAGCAGAAAAAGACTTCAAGTGTCTTTTGAACACCATTTCCACTCTTTGTCCAAATGTAAGGATAGATGCAATTACAAATAATGTGCCATTAAAAAGGAAATTACTGAATCAAATTTATATTCTGGTGCTTTTTTCTACAATGATTTTTCATGACATGTAAAATTTGTGGAAAACAGGTTTTTGTTTTGGATTTCCCTCCAAGACTGAGCCATGACACCGTTGTGCAGGACCATCTGAGGATGATGTTTCACAGGGTCTCAGTACAAATGGGTATGTGGAACTTTAGTGTGCAATATACAAAATGCTTCTAACTGGAAAAACTAATTGTTAACAAAATATATTTCTTTTAGATGTCCCATACTCATCAATTGCTGAGAACTTCCCCTTTCATCGCCTGGATTTGTGGGGCAGAGATGGGGTAAGTGAGAAGTTTACAGATTTTTAATGATTAAGAGGTATTAGCTTTAGCTAAAAATATATTTTTTTTCTATAGGTTCATCTCAGTGACAGTGATGGTATGGACATTTTTTCACAATTGCTCTGGCAAAAAACATACCTGCACCTCCAAAGTCAGAAGGCCCAGGTTACCCCCAAGAAGTCTGCTGCTAGAGTGGTCGTTCAACACGCAAAGCCCATTCAACCCCAAGCAGACCAATCTAAGTGGAAAGTTGTTTTGCCTGGCAAGAAGGTAAATTGTTTTTCTATGTTTTTATTTCAACTGCAGACATTATTTGGCTGTTTAGATTTTCAACAATCATGTAATATAAAAATTTCATTAATTTTTTCAGAGGTCTACTCCAGCTGGTCCAAAGGAGCAGAGATCATCTTCAAAGAGAATTCTTCTTCATGAGGTGAATGATTAATTTTAATTAATTAGGGTTCCAAGCCCAAAGGGCAGAGAACCCTATTGTTTTTGATAAATGAGATTTTATTTGATGTTCGTCATGTTGATTGATATGAGTTTTTCTAATATTGTCTACATCAAAATGTTCAGGCCGAAGTCTGCTTTGAAGTGAATCCCAAATACTTCCACGAAGATCTGCTGCATGTCTTGGAAAATGACAGTACTGGATGTCCAGATGTGCTTTCACCAGATGTCCGACAAAAAAAGGTAAATATGAAGAAATATGTTTTTTCATTAAAATGTTTTGATATTCATCTTTAATTCATTATTAATTTTAGATATTTGTCACCTAAGAATTTACAATCTGTTCATATTTTGATGACAGGTGGTACAACCTGAAGGAAAGCCAGTGTCCTCTGGAAAAGAGACAAGTGCTGTCAACACGCAGGTTTGTTGTTTTTTTTTTATCATTTTTTTCCTATTTGTTGGTCAAGTCCTCCTGTAAAACATGCACAAAGTAATTACATGCATTGTATACTGTTTTTATTTCAGGGACAGGCAACAACCATCCAGAAGCCCCCTGCCAGTACAACAGCATCAATGAAGGAGCAAGTGATCATGCCCTCTGATGATCATGAATGGCCAACACTTGCAGAGAGTTTAAAGGTAATTATGATTTACACACACAATACTTTTAAAATATAAAGTTGTAATATTGCTTAAGAGATACACATTTCTCCAATAATGGAAAAATTAACATAAAACCTTGAATGACATTTTCTTTCAGACATCTCACATTCATCCAAAAGGCTCACGTGGCACACTGATGTCTCGTCATCAGGTGAATAAACTCTCATTCAAAGAAACCAAATCAGTTTTGTTGCCTTTACTTGAAACCTTTGGATTACAATGATTCCTTTCATTTACTTACAGAAGTACCTGAAGGACTGCAGTGTGGTCCTTCAAAAGCTGAAAGTGAAAACTGATGACGCCAGTGTGCCATCACCAGCCCCCAATGACAAAACGGTGAGACCTATCAGCTTTTTTCATTGAATGATGCTCATTCTAAAGTTTTTACTCAAATACTTATATTCTTTGCTTATTTAAATAAACGTTTTCATTTTAACAGTATGCAGCTGCTGTCCAAGACCGAAGATCTGTTTCACGCACAGATGTCACCAAGGACCAGGTCTGACATTGGATTTTTAATATGATTGTTGTTTTTGACATCACATCATGTGCTTGACAAATAATTGTAAATTTCACAATACTAGAATATATTGTAAATATCCTGATTTGATTTCCAACAGGTTTGCTGTCACTCCCAGGAGCATTTGAAGGACTGTGCTGAGGTTCTACATCTCCAGATGAACGAAGACAAATACAGTGTTCCATCGCCTGTACCAAAAGGCAAAATGGTAGGACCTATATGACATAGTCTGATTATTGATGTTTAATAGCATACTTAATCCTACACATATTCTTTCCAATACTTATATTTCCTAAATATTATAAAACTTTTTTTATTTTAACAGAACGCAGATGCTCTCCAAGACCAAGGACCTGTTGACCTAGGAGATGCTACAAAGCAACAGGTTTGACATTTTCCCCAAGTGAAAACATGCCCATTTTATTCATATATTTTCTTCTAATTTTTGAATTTTTATGTTTGTTCTCATAGGAATGTAAGGAGAAGGAGAGGAGTGTTCAACATGAGAAGTACCATGATGCTCCTGGTGCTGCAGCTTCAAGTCTTACAACTGCATCTTCCCCATCAAATCAGGAAAGTTTGAACACTTTTCATACTATTGTCAAAGGTTCATTTCATCAAGGTCATAAGCGTTTTGGGTGCAACCGATTTAAACAGTGTGCACCAAACAGCATTACAGCCATCATGACAAACACTGTCAAAATGGCTTCCACATGGTCAAGAACAGACATTAACAATATCTTGATAAGTGGTGATAGTTTATACACTTACATGAAAGAGCAAAACATGATCAGTGATGCAGAAGGCAGTGGTTATGTTTTTGTTCAAGAATTACCCACAGAGCACACATTCCATCATCACAAGTTCTCTTTGGAATACATGCAGACCTTCACAGGACATCTTCATCAGCAGATTTACCATGAAGATGTTTCAGATTTTGCCATGCCTTTGGACGTTGCATTACAGAGAGCTATATATGACAATGACGGCTGTCTGTTTACAATTAGTAGAAACACATGTGCAGTTTTGAAAGAACAATCTCAGTTTTCTGTTTTTGATCCACATTCACGTGGTCATGATGGTCTCTGGCAGTTGAATGGCACAAGCATAGTAGCACACTTTGATACTTTAGACCAAGTTTATACACATTTAATCAATCTCTCTCACTCTTTGTGTGCTGAAAATGCAAATGAAGAGGACACAGCTTTTGAAATGACCGGTGTTAAGGTGACTGCTCAATCTATGAGTAAACCTACCCAAAGTAAAACTGCTTCTTGCCAAAATGATGTAGAGTTAATCAGTGGAAATGATGATAGTTTTGATGACGATACATTTGATCAGTTAGTAGTTGAAGAGATTGAAGATGTTGCAGTTAGTGACAAATCTGAGTCTCTTTCTGAATCTCCATCTCATTGTGAGCTCATCCATACGCAAAATAGTTATTTTCAAGATGATGCAGAGTCATTATGTACTAGTTTTGATGATGATAGTTTTGATAAAGTAGTACTTCAGGAAATAGAAGATATTGCAGTTAATGACAACGCTTCCCTTAATGTAGACTCAGTAACTGAAAATCATCACACTTCTTTGGATCAAGCAATAATTGAAGAAGTACCACTAAATGATACATCTGTTTTCATAATTTCAGAAAATATCAACAGCACTGTTACTTTCAATCCTCTGACCTCTAAAGACAAAAGAAACTTTTGCACCCAACTACAGATAGTTCCAAGTTTAGAAAGGGTGAAAAGTCTTTGGGAAAGTATTACATTAGATGAACCGTTACCTTGTACCACTATACACATCCAGCCAGACGGCAACTGCTTTTTCCGTGCTCTTGCATTTGTAATTACTGGGAATGAAGAGTTGCATATGTGGATTCGCAGGGCTGTTGTTAATCAAATTCTTCAAAATTCTAACCTCTATTCAAGTTACATCAGACAGGAATTTGAATCAGTACAGCAGTATGTTACACAAACAGGCATAAAGAAAGTTGGATCCTGGGCTACAGAAATTGAGATACAAGCAGCTGCAGACTTTTTCCATACCAATATTTACACTTACACTCAAGGAAAATGGTTACAATATGGCTCTTCTAGTACTTTAGACAACACCAAGGGTATTTACCTGAAACACTGTAATGAATGTCATTATGAGCCAATCGCATGTGTGAAAGATAAAACTAACACATGTTTCAACCTGATCTCATGTAATTACAGTCACTTTAAAGGTGACAAGGACATACTATCTCCATCTAAGATAAGTAGAGAGAACAGGAGAAAGAGAAATCTGTATAATGAAGACATTGAGAAAAGGGAAAGCAAAATAATGATGTTACAGAAATTGTATAAGGACAATCCTAAGTACAGATTACACAAGAAGCAATTAAGCATCATTACATATAGAAATAACCCTGAACTGAGAGCAAGACTCAGACATGCTAATAAACAGAACTACTACAAAAAGCCTGAACTGAGAGCAAGACTCAGACATGACAGTAAAGAAAACTACAAAAACAAACCCGAACTGAGAGCTAGACTCAGACATGCTAATAAACAGAACTACTACAAAAAGCCTGAACTGAGAGCAAGACTCAGACATGACAGTAAAGAAAACTACAAAAACAAACCTGAACTGAGAGCAAGACTCAGACATGACAGTAAAGAAAACTACAAAAACAAACCTGAACTGAGAGCTAGACTCAGACATGCTAATAAACAGAACTACTACAAAAAGCCTGAACTGAGAGCAAGACTCAAACTTGCCAGCAAAACCACTTATGCAACCAAAAGTAAACACTCTAAACTTCAGTTATTGAAACAGAACGTAGAAAGATATAGAAATAAGGTTGACCACCGTAACCGCATCAAACAGTCTAATTCTGAACGGTATAGAAATGTAACTGCTTATGCCGATTCTGTTAAAGAGCACGGAAAACGTAGACGACAAAATCTCATGACTGGAAAAAAGTTCATAGACAATGTCATTCAGCTTTTTAGAGAAAAGGTTAAATTTGGCCCTCAATTCGTCTGTTGTGTTTGTCATCGGTTACTTTTTAAACAACAAGTTGTTGAATGTAAAACACAGCAGTATGAAATTAGAGGTTCATTCATTTCATCTGTGGCAAAAAAATGCATCACTGACACTTATTTACACAAGTGTGGACAGTCTTCTGTTTCCAAATGCCATCTAGAGGTTAGCCCTGCATGTAAATTGTGGGTCTGTTTTACTTGTCATCGTAAAATACTCAATGGAAAAGTCCCTGAAGAAAGTGTTGCAAACAATATGCACCTAGACTCTATTCCTGTAGAACTTAGTACGTTGAATCCTCTTGAGCAACATCTAGTGGCACAGCACATTCCGTTTATGAAACTTTTAGCCTTACCAAAGGGAGGACAAAATGGTGTCCATGGACCTGTGACGTGTGTTCCATCTAATACAGAAACTGTGAGTAACATTCTACCCAGATTAGATGATCAGAATCTAATGATTAAAGTCAAACTGAAGCGAAAGCTGACATACAAGGGTCACTATGACTATCAGTATGTCAACGCTCTGAAAGTACATAATGCAATTGCATACCTTAAATCTCACAATACTTTTTACAAAGATGTACAATTTAACAGTGCATGGACAAATCCCCTAGAAAAAGAGTCTGAAAACTCTACCTCTGAAACTGACAACGTCACTTTGGAAGAAGACAGCAATAGAGCTGAAATAGAGTGTGAACATCCTGGCAAAGGAGATGGCAGTGGCACAGAGGTAGAGTCTGAAGATCTTGTTAGCGATGATCATTTTAATGATAGACAACAGCATGGGATGTTTTTGGACACATGTATGCAACCAGTAGACATTGCCCAAGAAATACTAGACAACCATTTTGACAGTGTTTTATCAGTAGCACCAGCTGAGGGAAATACTCCAGTCAGATTGCTTACCGATACTTCTAATGAGGCTAAATGCTTTCCAGTTCTGTTTCCCAATGGAACAGGTACATTTCATGATGCAAGACAGCAAAGGATTACACTCAGCAAATATTTAAACACCCGGATTCTCAATGCTGATGGCAGATTTGGCAAGAACTTGGATTATATCTTTTATGCACAATATTTGTCAGAAGTTAATCAAGTTGTGTCAAATGTTTCCATTGCACTGAGAAAGGGCTACCATGGCTTAGACAACACCAACATTACATCATCCATGCTGGGCAATACAGACTTTTTGAAGAATGTTTTAAATGCTGACATGGGCTATAAGTTTTTGAAACCCATTAGAGGCACACCAGTATTTTGGCAGGGAGTTCAAAAAGATCTGTTTGCTTACGTTAGACAACTTGGCATTCCTACATGGTTTGCTTCCTTTTCTTCAGCAGATTTAAGATGGCCAGAATTTATGGAAGCTTTTATGGCTATAGAAAACATTCAAGGCAATATTCATGACATGGACTGGGCACAGAAATGTGACTTATTGAAAAACAATCCAGTGACAGCAGCCAGAATGTTTGACTATAGATTTAGATCTTTTTAAAAAGATGTTATCATGTCTCCCGCTCAGCCAATTGGTAAAATCATTGATTATTTTTATAGAGTAGAGTTTCAGCAACGTGGATCATGTCACACTCATTGTCTATTTTGGACCGACGGGCCTAAAATAGGAGTCAACACAGACGCTGAAGTCATAGCTTTTGTAGATAAATATGTTACATGCGACCTCCCACCTGACAGTGATCCTCTCCATGAAGTGGTACATAGTGTTCAAATGCATAGCAAAAAACACTCTAAAAGTTGCAGAAAAAATCACACAACTTGCAGGTTTCACTTTCCCCGACCACCAAGCAACAATACATTCATATGTAAACAGGAAACGGATGTTGACAATAAGGAAAACCCATCTGACAAAACATCTTCAGATTTAAAAAAGGCAGCCAAGCATATCATGACCAAAGTTAAAGAAGCTTTGACCAGTGAAAACAACACATTTAGTAGCATAGATGACTTGTTTAATTCCATTGGTATTGACCAGACTACATTTGAAACAGCCTACAAACTGACCTCTACAAAAACAACTGTCGTCCATAAACGAAGCATAAACGACATCTGGGTTAATCAGTATAACACAGACCTGCTACGTTGCTGGAATGCAAACATGGACATCCAGTTTGTCTGTGATGCATATGCATGTATTGTTTATATCATTTCCTACATATCCAAAGCAGAAAGAGAAATGGGTTTGCTATTAAAACATGCACAAAATGAAATCAAACATAATGAAAACCTGGATGCAAAACAAGCGCTTAACAAATTAGGGAATGTGTTTCTGCATAACAGAGAAGTTTCTGCTCAAGAAAGTGTGTATCGGGTAACAAACATGAGATTAAAAGAGGGCTCTAGAAAAGTCACATTTGTTCCAACAGGTGACAACATTGTCAGAATGAGCTTACCTCTTAATGTCATTCAAAACAGTGCTAATGGTAATCAGATCTGGATGACAAACATTACTGATCGATACAAAAGCAGGCCTAAGTCCAGTGAATTTATGGACATGTGCATAGCTACTTTTGCCTCAGAATACAGAAATGTACCAAACAGTGAGAAATCTAGACCAGAAGTGGTTAGTTTATTAAACAACAATGGTTGTGTAAGGAAGCGGACAAGGACAAATGTAGCTGTTGTTAGATATGCTCGTTTTTCTAAAGAACAAGATCCTGAGAAACACTATCAAAGCCAGCTTCAGTTGTTCCTTCCTTATTACACGGAAAACCAGTTAAAACCATCACAATTTACAACATTTCAAGAGTTTTATGAGACCGGCTCAATCACAAACAGTAGTAAAAACATCCAGACTGTCAAAGACGTAGTAGAATTCAACAGATCCAAGTTTGAAATCAAAGCAGAAGATTTACAAAACATACAGGAAGATATTGAACACTTTGGATTTCAAGAAGATGTTTGGGCAGAGCTGTGTCCTGAGGCAGAACTAGACCGATTGGAATGTTTGGAAGACAGATCTTTAGATAACAATCCAAATCCTGGTGAACAAGAAGTTATTCCAGATCTAGAGCCAATCACAAAACCAGCTTTATCATTTCACATTCAAAAACAGATAGTCTCACACAAGGAAGCACAATCCTTAATGCGTTCACTAAATCAGCAGCAGAGCAACGTGTTTTATAAAATCCGGCAGTGGTGCTTAGATAAAGTAAACGGTCACAATCCAAGCCCTTTTTATGTTTTCATTTCAGGTGGAGCGGGAACAGGCAAGTCCCATTTGGTAAAAGCCGTGTCCTATGAAACAACCAGAATACTATCCAGATTATCTAATTATCCTGATGATATTCATGTTTTATTGACTGCCCCCACTGGAGTGGCTGCATTAAATATCAATGCCACAACAATACATAATAGCTTTGCAATTGGCAATAATATTTCATTACCATACCAGCCTTTAAGAGAGGAAAAAATAAACACATTAAGAGCAACCCTGAAACATTTACAAATCTTGATAATAGATGAAATCTCAATGGTTGATAACAAACTTTTAACATATATCCATGGTAGACTGCGTCAGATCAAACAGTGTTCAGACTTTTCTTCATTTGGTAATGTCTCCGTCATAGCTGTTGGTGATTTTTATCAGTTGCCACCTGTCAAAGGGACTCCACTCTACAAGGACCCCATTGGTTCCAATTTGTGGCAAAACAGTTTCAGTCATGTAGAACTCACAGACATAGTACGACAGAAAAACAAAGACTTTGCTGTAACACTTAACCGTTTAAGGAAACACAAAAAAGACCAACCACTTCACCCACAAGACGAAGCACTTCTCAAACGATGTGAAACAGGCATGGGTGAAGACACTGAAACTCTGCATCTTTTTGCAACAAACAGTGATGTTGATAATCATAACTTCAACATGTTGCATAAACAATGTACAGACATTGTACAAATCAAAGCCCAAGATTTCCATAAAAACCCTCAGACTGGCCGTACTACTAGAATACCCTCAACACTTGATTTTGGCAAGAAAACCTATTTAGATAAATTACTAAGTATTGCTCCTAAAGCTCGTGTAATGCTCATTAAAAACATTGATGTTTCTGATGGACTTGTTAATGGTGTGTTTGGTACTGTTTGTCGCATACAATTTCTAAGTAACAATAGCTTCCCACACATCATTTATGTTAACTTTGATAACCCAAGTATAGGCCAACAACTACGACACAAGTTTCCAACTTCAGACACCGAGCTGACTAATGCTACACCAATTAGTCCCGATGAAGATAAACTTGAAAAGGGGGTTAGACGTCAATTTCCACTGCGGCTGGCTTGGTCTTGCACCATACATAAAGTCCAAGGCCTAACACTACAGAAAGCAGTAGTCTCTTTTAAAAGGATTTTTTCTGCTGGACAAGCATATGTAGCTTTAAGTCGTGTTACATCACTAGAACACCTCACTATCCAAGATTTTAAAGCTAAAGCAATCTATGCAAGAAGTGATGTGGAGGAAAACTTGAAATTAATGCCAAACTTTATCGACACACCAGTTTCAATGCCAAACTGCACTTTTAAAGTCTGTCTTCATAATGTGCAAGGTCTCAAGAATCACATACAGGATGTCAAGAGCAACCAAAAACTACTCACAGCCGATATAATTTGTCTGACAGAAACTTGGTTAAAAGAAACACATCCCCCTGAAAGCATTTCACTGCCAGGTTGGACTTTTCACCACAAAACAAGATCTGACTCATATGATGAAACTGGACTATTTTCTACTTTCAGAAGCAAAAATGGTGGTGGTGTTGGTTTCTATCACAAAAACAGCATTATGTGTAAAAGTATGGCTTTCAATTGCAACAACCTGGAAGCTTTGCTTTTTAGCACACAGACTTTAAACCATCATTATATGCTGTTGTACAAACCACCATCATATAACCTTCAGAAATTCAAAGACAATCTAAAACCTGTACTGCATTATTTCAATGAATTTCCAGCAACCAAAATAGTCATGGGTGACATTAATGATGATGCACTGGTTTCTAATTCATTTGTCAGCTTCATGAAATTGCAAGGATACACTCAAATAGTAACAAGTCCAACAACCGAAAATAATACTCTGATTGATCATGTTTACATCAAAGACATTGATCCCAAAACCATACATGTAGAAGTTATTCCCACCTATTACAGTTACCATGAATGTGTTCAAATATCATTCTTGACAGGAACAGACACAGACATACAGTTACAGGAACTGGGGACAGACAGACAGGGACTGCAGGACAAATAGCCTCAAGGGGAAAGACAGACAATCACAGATAGATGGACGGGTGGACACCAGAGCTGACCATAACAAATTACACATAGAGGTCCGTTTCATTCATACAAAATCAAATTAGCTTCAAAATCATCTAAACTTATTTGGACTCTTATACATATATACCATACCATACCACACCATACCTTACCATTTAATGTATATTTAGCATGTGAAATACACTTTTTATCCATAAAAAAGTGTATGACAGTATCACACTTACTTGTGGTTTTGATAATGGACACTTGAAATGTTACTTTGTGTTGTGCCATCACTGTTTCAATGTAAAAAATGTATCCATTTAGATATTCACAAATTCACTTATTCCAGTACTATTTTTATTTTCCTTTGTTAAAGATTTCATTTTACAGCACTCTTCTTTTTTTCAATCTCTACTAGGAACAATCACCCACCAGATGAAGTTCCTGAAACAACACAACCGAAATCTGCGGAATCAGCAACCATCATGTGACCACGCCGCCCACCTGTCGTCCTCTTTGCTTCCCAGCCTGCCTAACTACCAGCCTCTGGACCTGCATCATATCCTGCCTCACTGTCTGCCTCGCAACCTGTTTCCTCATCCCGTCCGGGATCCTCATTATCTGCTGCTCTTCTGTCCCCACCTGGCCCCAAAGCCCCAGCCCTGCCTCACCAAGACCGATCATCTCCAGTAAGAATAGTTCTCCAAACAATTCCAGTTCTGGTTCTCTGGTTCCAGGGTTTCATGATTCTAACACCAGTTTGCTTTCCCGTTCTAGATCTCGATCCCTCCTGTTCCAGTTTGGAGCACCGTTTTCAGTTTCACATTGTTCTTAATAAATATTATTTGTTATTCACTTGCCATCGTTTCCGTCTGTGATTTTTTCATGTCCTGGGTAAAACATTCCCAACATGACACTTAGCCTCAGAATGCCCTTCTACCACTTTCCTATACATTGTGTAACAAATCATTTGTACATTTACATATGTAGATAACAATAAAGTGTTTTCTGTACTCTTGAATCAATATAATTTCTGGAATCCTAATTTCAATGCACAGTGTTGTAAAAAAATTGTTTCCTCTACAAAGTCTTCCCCACAATTGGCAAAATTTGACATACAATAAACTGCTGTTTTTTTAATTGAATTGTTTGAATAATGTACCATCATTTTTACCTACATATCCTACATCTTTGTACTTACAAAATGAAGTGTTTCACTGAATTTTGGACAATATCGTGCTCAAAATAAATGTCTACTTGTTTTATTTTGACCAAATGTCTACTCGTTTTATTTTGACCAGAGATAACTATGTGATTTTGACCATGGCCAGATAAAACTGTTACAAGAATGTGCAGGGCAAGGGGCCACTGGCACAAATTGCAGGAAATCTTTAGATCAAATATGGATTTTATTCAGTTTTGTTTCATTCAGTTCAATTATCAATCTCCATATATCGTCTTATTGACAAAAAAAATATTTAAAAACTATAAAATAACAAAACTTGATTTCTCATGACCCATGATGATTTTCAAAAAACATTGGAGGATTTCCTGTGAAAATAATACATTTTTAATACATTTACTAAACATCGTCAGTAATATTGAAATGGTAAATGTTTTGGATTTGTATAGCGCCTTAGTCCCTTAACAACACAATCAGTCTTTCACCCATTCACACACACAGTCACACACTACTGGGAATGAGCTACAATGTAGCCACAGCTTCCCTGAAGCACACTAACATAGGTGAGGCCTGCCGAAAACTGACACCACCGGTCCCTCTCAGCACCAGCAGCCAAGGTGTCTTGCCCAAAGACACAACCACAGCATTCTCTGGTCAGACTTGGAATCAAACCCAAAACCTTCCAATTATTGGAAATCCCGCTCCGTTTCCTGAACTTCTGCTGTCCAATACAGCACATGACTTACCAGGCCTGCAGAAGTCTGCATTCAGCCATTCACTCACAGTCACACGCTGGTATATGTATAGGCTAAGCAAAAGGTTTCATGACAAATCCTGAGTGTTACTTTCATTGCGCCGGTTGAAGTGAGCTGACGGGACGCCGGCGGGAGAACGTGTTTTTGGGGCGGGACCGCGTGAGGACTGGCGAAGTTGAGGGCGGGGCGGGTGGGTGACTGGCGCTGGGGGCTTGGAACCCGTTGATAACTGCTTGCAGTTCTAGTTAGGGTTCCAAGCCCAAAGGGCAGGGAACCCTATTGTTTTTCTACGGATTTTTCATTATTTATTATTTATTATTAGGGTTCCAAGCCCAAAGGGCAGGGAACCCTATTGTTTTTCTACGGATTTTTCATTATTTATTATTTATTATTTATTATTATTCTTCTCCGGTAAAACTATATGGGCGCAAGAGCCTGAAATTGCCAGGGAAAATCTGACATGGCAGTCTGATAGAAAATCCTGACCGCTACTCAGATTCGAAAATTTGGACCCCGCGTCACCTAGGTGGCGCTATTGCGGAGGTGAACACGTTTCAGCTACTAGCTCCCAAACCGTAGGGCCTACAGTCAAAAACTGTATATGTCCATGATCCTTGGATGATTCTCCATCTTTTTTGTATTGGCCACGCCCATTTCCGCCTAACTAGATTTTTTGCTAGATCGCAAAAAATGCAAAACTTAGTTTTAATCACCTATTCGTCATTTTTCGTCGAACCAACTTCAAGCTTCGTACATATGATCTATGGACTAAGATAAGTTGTTGTGATGCAGAAAAACGCAGAAATGTTGAAAATTGGGCTAATGACACCATGTCAAAATCAGTGTGCTAGCTAGCACATGTGCTAATTGATGATATCTTCACCATATCTCAAGATAAAGTGATGAGACTCTAGACCCTTATGAAGTATGAGCGGTAAGCCCTATCTTCCCCATTTTGTTTGGATTCACCAAAAGGGGGCGCTAAAGAGTCAAAAAGTTAGTTTGAGCTAAACGGCTTGATGGATTTCCACAGAACTTGGCACATATGTTAATCATTGGACCCTTAAGCTATATTTTGAAAATGATTAAAAAGTGGGCGTGGCTTATAGGCTTTAAAAATTTTCGCCCTTTAACTGATGAAAAATACATATTCTATACAGAAAGTTACAAATCATATCAGTCATAGTGACATCTACAATCACAGAAAAAAGTTTGAATTTTGTCCAATAGTTGGCACTGTTGTACCCCAAAAAAGTTTTTGGCATGTTTCTCCTCAATATTTTAGTAAACAAGCAAATGGTCTCATCCAGTATGTTCATTGACTCAGTCAAATTAAGATGAGTATTTTAAAAAATGTTTTAAACTTATGCTAATTAGTAGAAATTTGCATAGTAAGTCAAACGTACTTTCGTTAACTCCTCCCGGCCGTCAAACACAATCACATCACAACTTTGCCTGACAAGAGAGGGGGAGCGGCTGACCAAACGATCTGAAGGGATTTTGGATAATTTGCTTATTTTTTTTAATATGATTTTTTTAAATAATTTTTTGGGAATGAAAATGTTTTTTTAGCATAACTTCAAAAGGTTTTGACATTTTTCAAAGCTGTTCATAACAGTCATACCTAAGGTCAATTCAAGTGTATGTCTTGATTTTCACCTTGATTAAACAATAGGGGGCGCTATAAATAGCAAGACATTATACTGCTGAACTGGTTAAATGGATCTGCACGAAACTTAGTGGTTGTCATCATTCTAGAGTCTTAAGACTACTTTATCAATATGGTAATGATTGATCAAAGTGGGCGTGGTTTATGATCATTTAAAATTTCAAATTTGAAAAATTTCCTAAAAATCATTATTTGCATGTAAGAGGCTAAGATTTCCAGATTGTGTTAACTTGTTAGGCTAGAGCTTATGTCACGAAAGCCGCAGCTCCACAAAGAGGTTTGCGCTTTATATTTATGAAAATACATTTTTAGGCTAGCAATTGTAGCGCAAATTCTCTTCTCACAATCTTCTTGTAATTTGGTACAAAGTTCCCTCTTAGGTGGTTTATGAAAGAAAAAAAATGTTGTCTTGATTTGAGCTCCCCCTTGTGTTTAATTATAGGACATATTTTTGTCTACAGCCACTAATGCAAATATTATTTTATTGTAAGTAAAGTTTTTCATTTATGACCCCAACAAAAATATAAGAAGAATTCTCACATCACAGAGGCAACCTGGGAATATTTTGAGATTTCTGTACAAAAGCATAGATTTTTAATGAATTTTTAACTTTTTACCAGTTTTTCTGTATAGTTGGACAACAACGTAATTAATTTTTGTTAGAAAGATTTTTAGGTATACAGTAAATATAAGCATTTACAACGTTCCACATGTACCTATGGTGATCTGAGATTTTTCTCCTAATTTTAGAAAGTAGCACTATTTTTTTATGAATATTTTAATTTTTGTTGTGACCTTTATAGTTATATTTCCCAATTTTTCTTCAAAAAAGCTTTGAGTCTACTGATTTAAAAACAACATCATATTATTCCGCATGATAACACTACCATGTGAAAATATTTTGGTAATTTTATGATGATTTATGTATTTTTCATGATTTTTTAAAACATTTGGTCAGTAAGTCACAAAATGAAACTCATAGTTTTTGTTGAAAATATTTTAAATCTAAAGACATTATCAAGTATTTATGTTATTTGTAATATTCTGTTGATGTTTAGATCATTGTTTGATAATCTCACTCATTAAATCTTCACGTTCTTTAATAAGGAAACGGTGGAATTCCATTGTAATCACGATTGAGAAGTCAGCCATGCCTCTGAAAGATATGTGTATAGGCTTTGCAGGTTTAATGACGTTTCCTGAGTGTTACTTTCATTGCGCCGGTTGAAGTGAGCTGACGGGACGCCGGCGGGAGAACGTGTTTTTGGGGCGGGACAGCGTGAGGACTGGCGAAGTTGAGGGCGGGGCGGGTGGGCGACTGGCGCTGGGGGCTTGGAACCCGTTGATAACTGCTTGCAGTTCTAGTTATTAGGGTTCCAAGCCCAAAGGGCAGGGAACCCTATTGTTTTTCTACGGATTTTTCATTATTTATTATTATTTATTATTTATTATTCTTCTCCGCTTGAACTGTATGGGGGCAAGAGCCTGAAATTGCCAGAAAAAATCTGACATGGCAGTCTGATACAAAATCCTGACCGCTACTCAGATTCGAAAATTTGGACCCCGAGTCACCTAGGTGGCGCTATTGCGGAGGTGAACATGTTTCAGCTACTAGCTCCCAAACCGTAGGTCCTACAGTCAAAAACTTTATATGTACATGATCCTTGGATAATTTCGCATGTCGTTTGTATTGGCCACGCCCATTTCCGCCTAACTAGATTTTTTGCTAGATCGCAAAAAACGCAAAACTTACTTTTAATCACCTATTCGTCATTTTTCGTCGAACCAACTTCAAACTTCGTACATGTGATCTATTGACTAAGCTAAGTTGTTCTGATGAAGAAAAATGCAGAAATATTGAAAATTGGGCTAATGAC